CCGGAGAAACTCGGACGCCATTGTAGGTTTGTGACAGTTGTTCATTCTACCTCTTGAACTCTACCTACAGTCTCGTTGCAGTTCCTGTTTATGGCTTCCTAGACACTCGCCATAAAAAAAAAAAAACACAGTGGAGACTACAGGTAGTTTCGCATGATTGAGTCAACTTGCAGGATACTTACACATGGAGCAAACCCTCGACGGTTTAGTGCAAGAGCTGGACACCTCGGCGTCATCTAGGGCTTGGTTCTACCTATCGTCTCCATTGTGGTCCCTCTGTTGCTTTAACCATCTTTACATTCAGGATCCTAACTTTAAAGGCTAACCCCAAAAAGGAACTGCAATGGAAACTAGAGGTAGAGGCCATGTTGTGTTGGTAGAAAACCCTGAACTTCCAAATCCCCAAAGCCCCAAAAAGGGAATGCCACCTAATACAGGGGCTTTAATCATGAGAATAGGGTTTGGGTATATTATACTATGATTATAACAAAGAACCCCCCAAAACCCTATTCTTATTATTAAGGCCCCCTAAACCCTAAACCCTAAACCCTATTCTTATTATGAAGGCCCCGACATTAACATGGCCCACGAGCCGCTTTCAAGAGGTGCTGGGATATTCTTTCGGTTTTTTCTTTAAAGTGCACTAGCCCCTTTCTCCGCAGTCTTTCGGTTTAGGGTTTAGGGTTTATGGTTTAGGGTTTAGGGTTTCGGCCTGAGGACGTACAAGGATTGTAGGAGCTTGTCGCAGCTTGTCTATACCTTAAAAACGAAAGGAAACCTAAAAACGCTTAAGGATCATATACCATATAGGGATTCTTGTCTATACCTTAAAACCGAAAGGTACCCTAAAAGGCTACAGGTTCATATACCATATAGGGATTCATAGTATAAGGGTATAGGGCCCTTACTTTTAAGGCTTTTTGGTCGTTAATTAAGGCAAAGCTACAATCAACGAAAGGTTCCTTAACGCAGAACATTACACAATATACTGTTTGGATCTCAGCCAAGATGCCGTGTGCGGTGGTTGGGTGTGCCAAAGCCTGTGCAACGAACAGCACCCGGGAAAGAAAAAAACAACAGTTGGTGTAGGGGCGCCTGAACCACTAGAGGTCCGTGCAACGAAGGATTAAGCAGTGCTCGGACGCTTACGGATGGCCTCAACCCCAGCGGAATCTTAACGAGTTTCGATGGAGCCTCCAGACCCTGGGCGCCCGAATTAGCTTCCGGTTCGGGGTGGGGTTTAGGGTGTAGGGACAAGGTACTGTAGGGGCCTTAGTAGTTTTATTAGGGTTTTGGGGCCCATTATACTATAGTAACAATAAGGAACTCCCAACATCTTCTAGGTAATTATTTCGGCCCCTACATTATCAAGTCGAAACAGCGGTAGAAGCACCTGTAAGTTGAGTCTCCCGAAATGCAGTTGGAGTTCCCTGAGAGGGTCACTTGCTTCTACAGACGTCCCGAAATCCTGCACCGTGAATCTGCAACCATAAAGCCCTAGCTGTTACTCATAAAACTCCTGGAAGCACCCTGTACATGTCCATGTACATGTTTAGCCGAAGTCTCCATTTGAGTTCCTTTTTGTTGGCTTAACCTACTATTGTATATGCCTAACGCGTACCCCCCCAACAAGGAACCATAATGGAGATTATCGGCAAGTTCATAACTGAATAGCTAAGTCACAGTCAACATTGCTTTACTACTGGTCGTCTAGCCGGACTTGCAAGTACCTGTGAAACACGACAACAACCCCTCCAGAAACCCAAATATATGAGCCTTCATGGTTAGAACAAGATGTTGATCTCTTCTAGTGCTGTTCTCCTATGAGTCAAAAGAGTTGTATTCAGGAAACTCAGGCTTGGATGTTCGCCTGCTTGATAATATCGCGTTTCTTTGGCAGGTAAGTAGTAAGGAAAGTATCCGATGAAACTGCAGCCCATGCAGTCTGTACTTCTGCAGATTTTAGATCCCTGGCTGAGACCCCTAAAACCCTAAACCCTCCCTTACCCTAAACCCTAAACCCTAAACCCTTCATCACCCTAACCCCTAAACCCTCCATTACCCTAAACCCTAAACCCTAAACCCTAAACCCTTCATCACCCTAACCCCTAAACCCTCCATCTTCATCACCCTAAACCCTAAACCCTCCATTACCCTAAACCCTAAACCCTCCACTGAACAGAACCGGGATCCTCCGCTTTTTAGGTCCCAGAGATTTTGATGCAGAAGACGCGAACTATAACAATCAGCGTAGCCTAAACCCGGAACTCCTCAACCCGATCTTCAGTTCGGGGTCTTCGCTACGTTGCCGCATGACAAGCTGAGGCTCTGCTCAAATCCAGGATGATCTCGCGATCACGGAAGCCGGCCTCGTGCGTGTGTGTGTTTGTGTGTGTGTATGCACATGCCAGCGAATGATTTTGCCAATAATCATATGTATGTGCTAGTTTAAGTGATCGGTGGCTTGCTCAAGACTCATGGGGTTGATAGGTGTAACAGTCTTCACGACACGGCTTTTGCATGGTACGGCTGCTGATCTAAATCCTGCATTATCCATATAATAATCACAATAATACGGAACCTAGTACCTCAAGGATCCTAAACTACCAGAATTATGGTATATATACCATAATCCCCATAGTTTATGATCTTTAAGGTCATGAAGCTGTTGTCAGGTATAGCAAACAAAACTTGCTTCTAACAGCTTAACAGAAGCGACCCTGAACACGAATCTACGAACGGATTTAGCCTCATCATACTACACCGAACATCTCATCCTTAAGTTTCCTGTAGTCCTAGACCATAGAGATATTTAAAAGGTAATGGTCGCAAAGTTACTGAGTGAGCTTGCTTAAGCGCCTCAGCCCTATCTTCAGCGCTGTGCCCTACCCAGAGAACCCAATACCCCTTAAATGCTCAAATCATAATCTGAAGCCGCTTATAATTTAAGCCATATTCCTTATTTAAGGGGTAGTGGGCTCTCTGGGTATAACTACAAGCTTGAGGGGGTCCTTACCTGTAGATACCCAAAGTCCACCCTGTGACCGAGGGTGATCGCCTTCTGCTTCGCAGGGCTTGGCTTAGGGTTTAGGGTTTAGGGTTTAGGGTTTAGCAATACTTGGAGGATCTTGGGACTTAGTAAGTAGCGTTATAAGTACTTTAAGTCGGGTTCTAAGCAGTTCTAAGTATAGTTACCTGATTTATAACCTCAGTTTCCAAGTCCCATGATCCTTTAAGTAGAGGAAACCCCAAAACGTTGGAAACGGGATGAAGGACAATTAGTGCTGGGATTCTCTATACATCCCAGAGTCTCCATTGTAGTTCCTTTTGTTGGTTTAACCAGTCCCGAAAAGGAAACTCTAGGATTACTCTTAAGGATTGAGGCTATTGACTTTTGGGCGTCAACTGTAACCCAAGCCCTAAACCCCTAGGTCTTCGTCAACTCTTCATCCTAACCCTACCTGGGCCCTATGAGACCTAATTGCCTTTACAGGGATCCTTCTTATGATTTCTTTGTATAAATATGCCGAAAAAAGGGTAGTTTATTTGGGAGTAAAGGTAAAGCCTGCACCCCAAACTCCTAAAGTGCCGCCTGCTGCAGCGCCGCTCGCCACTTTGCGCAGGCGTCGCTGCCGTGAAAGCCTTTCACCTGGTGAATCTGGGGTCGAACGCCGTTACTAGGGATAAAATTTAAGCGGTTTAGGGCTCTGAGGTTTAGTCATTCAAGCCTTCCTACTTGAGAAGGCCTGATACAACACAAGCAAGGTTCAGGAATTCGGGGATCCTGAATGCCGAAATGAACTAAGGTCTAGAGCAAAACCATCAAGCTGCACACTCTCAAGGGCCCCAGTGGTTTTAGGGCTTAGGGTTTGGCTCTTTGGTATTTGTTGGGGGTTTTGGGATTTGCTGTATGGGTTTAGGGGCTCTGGTATTTAAGGCTTCGGGGGTTTGGAGCTCCAGAAATCGGAGATCGAGGCCGTGCGTGAGGCTCCACGTGTACTTGGCTGGGTTTAGGGTGTAGGAGGGTTAAGGGTTTAGGGCTTGCTAGGGATTAGGAGGGTTTAGGGTTTGGGGATTAGGAGGGTTTAGGGTTAGGGTTTAGGAGGGTTTGGGGGGGTCGAGGTTTAGGTTGCATGTGTAGACCAACTAGTCAGAGAGTAGACGCCAACTGTAGGTACTTGGGCCTCTGCACCATATCTGCAGGGCTGAAAAACCTCAACCCCCAATGCGACCTGTGCCTTTTTCAGAATCCAACCCACTCCACCCCAAGCCCCGAGCCCAAAACCGCCCTGGCTGGACTTCGAAACCCTACACCCTTAAAGCACGCCCTAAAACCCTTAAACTCCTCCTACACTCCTATGGGCCTATACCTTAATCCACCTAAACCTAAACCTCTAAATCTCCGTGGTTTCTCGACCCTCAGCACTTCCGCAGCTGCATCTTTGTCTCCACTGGGCCCGACGTGTTTAGCTCTGTCCGATGCTTTGAGTCTTCGGGGCTTCAGGGTTTACCGAAATAGCTTACGCTTGTACGGACTCATATAAGGAAAACATACTAAGGAACCCTAATAAAAGTGAGGTTTCTTAGGGTCCGGGTAGGGTTTAGGGTCTGCAGGCTCCAACTACTTAACCGGTCATGGGACTTAGTCTAGTAACTGAAACAAATCCCCCATCGAACAAAAGACCATCGGCCAAGCAAATTTGAACTCGTGCAAATCCGTAACCTCCAGATCCTAAACCCGGAAACTCTAAATCCTCTAAGGCATGAAACCCCCAAATCCCCCAGCTCTTTAAGCCCAGCATCCTCAAACCAAAAACCCGTGCTGAACCTTGTAGAAAATCGTACCCTTAGTAATAGCAACCCAAAACCCTATAAACCTTTATCGAGATCCCTAAACCCGAAACCCTAAACCTTTATCGAGATCCCTTTATCCCCTAAACCCTAAACCCTAAACACTAAACCCTAAATCCCTTTACGCCCTAAACTTTCAGTCCTGTTGCATTTTCCAAGGCGATCCACCGCGGAGGATGCCGGAGAAGTGGGAGCAGCTTGCAAAGGTGGTCCTGAGTTTCCAAAAGCTTGGGGTTTAGGGTTGAAGTGTTTTGGGGTTTAGGGTTTAGGGTTTAGGGTTTAGAGGTTTAGGGTTTAGGGTCCTGAGCCAGGGGTCACGTTCATGCCTTGTTATAAGTGCTTCTGTATTTAAACAAGGCTTCCTATCGGGGTTTTCGAGGATTGGAAAGTTCTTGTGCATACGCATTGCGACAACCGTAAACCCTAAAGCCCACGGCCGACAAAACGTTCTACGGTCCCTGGGCAGTCAGGGGTTGCTGCAGGGGTTCAGCGTTTACGGTTTAGGGTTTAGGGGTTGCTACAGGGGTTTCTAGAAGGATTATGGCAAGGGTTCTGTATGAGGGTTCAATCATGCGCTTCTCGGAGAGTATGGATTCGATGTATGCGTCGAGTTTTGTTGGCGTGTTGTCACGGTTTTGGGTTTAGGGATCCTGGCTTGGAGAGTTTGATTAAGGGTCCGGGTTTAGGGACTGAGGTTTCAAGTTTTAAAGTTTAAAGCTTTAGAAATTTGGGGGTTAGCGTTTTAAGAAGGTTTTTAGAGGGTGATCCTGCTCCAGTGAAGGGCTTATATAGGAGCTCAAAGCTGCAGGCTCTGGAGACTGATGATCACTAACCCAGAGGGTCCATGTACCCAAATAGTATATACTTTGGGGTTAAAGTCGTCCCTGTTTAGGTACTGCAGGGCCAACTTATATACTAAGTATTTGGGTACATGTTAGGCGAACATCGCTAAAGATTTGGGGCTTCTATAGGGGTTCTACGTCACGGTGAAGATTTAGCGAAGCTGGTGGCCAGATGTGTTGTGGGAGGCTTAAACTTTTAAACACCTTGTAACCCCACATCTCAGAAACAGAAAGGCTAGAGGTCCATGTGCCCTGAAAAACCCCTTGCTTGAAATGACAAGCACAGGAT